TAATAATAATAATAATAATGTTATAATATAACATTTACGGATATCATAAAAATGGGAGTGAGAGACACCTATAATTGAAATCGGCAATTACTTAGTTGCCAACCCAATATTTACATCGAAAATTATTGCCTTTATCTACTTATCTGAGATTATTCAGTTACAGTGGTTTAGTTGTATATCAAGGAACAGCCAAGTTATTAATAAAATATGGGAAGCGGGTCAAATGTAACAACCGACCCCGACCTCGGAACAGTTGTAACATAGCACGGCATTCTTTACATGCCCAGTCATTACAGTCACAACATTGGAAACGTTTCTCATTAAATTTGCTTGTCCTGCAAGGTCCCTAGCCATTTTCGTACGCTTTTATATCCATGGTTCCTCTATTAGCTTTTTTAATTTTTGTACGAAGCATTCTAAAAGTTTAATTAAGATATTAAATTGCAACAATCTTAAATGTATTAGTTAACCTAATAAATGTAGGTGCTTGTTTCAGTTGTAAGCTGAAGAAAATTAACCGTAGAAATTCGTTACAATCGTTCCCGACTGCACTTTCAAACTTTGTATATGTATTATCAAACTTTATATTCAAACTTTATTACAAATTGTTATTTATAAGATGCTTATTGATGCAAAGCAACCATGGGCATTTCTTTAGGACATGTAAAATTAGAGATTTGAAACAAGAACGAAGAATACATTTGCTACGATAGCACTTGTATCATAATTTTAAAGCTGCAAGGAAAGTTAGCTTTCAGATATCGAAAAGTTATTTCCTTCCTTATGCAGATGTATAACAGTAAATTCTGCCTAATTGACGCTCAGCTTGGAAACAAAAATGGACAATTTGGAAAGAAGAGGTACGTCAGTAACTATAAAAACGAGCCGCGAGGCTCGAATAATCGTACCTCTTCTTCCCGAATTATCCATTTTTGTGTACAATCTAAACGTCAATTAGGGAGAGTTTATTTGGTATTTACGACAGACGAGTCCAAATGTCATTCTACATTATATGTATATCTGAACCGTGTAATAACATCTGTCACGTATTCTGAGATTATTTAACGTGTTACAACCGTCCCCGTGTTACAACCGTCATCGGTCTATCCATTCGCAAATCGATTAAAATCATCGAGTCGTTATCCCGGATTCCACGGAACTGGTCGCGACAGCAGGTCTCGATGAAAACCAGAAGCTAGAATAAAATGAGAAGCGAATTTCCACATCGACGGAGAAAAAACCGTGAGTGCGAGACGCGTGCGAGAAGGGCAGTCTGCGCGAATCATGCGTCAGACTTCCGAGCAACGCGGCGCGTTCTATCAAATTAAAGCGCACGTGAAACCCGAGCCGTTGGCGTCTGCATACCGTGGCGCGTCGTATGTACTTACTGTTAAACTAATTTGCAGGCTCGTCCCAGGCGAACAACACCTTCGCGGACTTGACCGATCGGATCCGGCACTCGTTCGAAACGGAAAAAAAATCGTCGCGGCCGGCCCGTGCCAGCGAGGAACTAGGGTCAGATCCGCGGCATGACGACGACGGCACCGGTAGCACGCGCTGCGGCTTTTTACTGGCGTCGTGCAGCGCCGTGACGTAAGCTCCCGAATCGATGTCGCCCACTGCAACGACCCTTGCTAGCCACCCCGTGCTTTCCCTTGGCCGCAGACACGCAGGCGTGATCGAAAACGGCCGAGTAGTGAAAGTGCAGCCAGCTTTTCGCACACACGCTCTCTAACTCGTGATCCTATCTTTCCACGATTCATCGATCATGCCAGCTGTCTGGGCTAGATCGTCACCGGACTGCGGATGTTCGCGAATCTACAGATAGGACGTTTAGGGGAGGGCATTCGTGCGATAGCCAACTATCAGTAATTTTACAGATAAAACTTCGAGGATACGCATTTTTATAGCATTTTTTTACGCTGATTCGAATTACGTGCAAACGATTTTGCCAGCGAATTTTTCTGACAATAAATAGATTCCTTTTTTACGAAGAAAAATCGGATTGAATCCGCAAGCAATTCTGTTCAACGTCGTCCACGGAGATTGCAGTAAAAATTTCAGCTCGAAAGATTGATTGTTGTCCGAGTTATTTCAATTTCAGTTGTAATTATTGGCACCGCGGTCGTTTACGTGCTCATCACGGTTGGGCAGAATTTGATTCGGTTGATGTTTTATTGAGCGCTATCGAATAAATGTCCAACCGAATAGATATCTATATACGTAAAAATTTTTATCCGAATACGATTTTTTTCGAACAAGAATTCTTACGGAAAATAATCGCTTTGAATGAAACTAATGAAAAATAAAAAGTGCAGTTTTTTCATAATTCATCGATTTATTTCGCCGATATACTTTTTTTCAAATGTTACATTCGAGAATTTGTTACTTTTGGGTAGATTATCTATAGATATAGATTTATAGTAGATTGTGTAATAGATTATATATAGATTTATAGTAGATATTGATAGATTATTGATGCAGAACTTTTTACAGGTGCAGAGAAAGGCATCTGCAATTTTATAATTTCACA